AGTCATTGCACTCAAATTTATTATTTCTTCGAATAGTTCTTTTCTTCCTGAGGAGTAGTTTAGAATTTGAGATAGTCAAAGCAGGGTTAGGGTTAAATACATATATGGATTAAACAAAAATATTAAAAGATTAAGTTAATAATAACTAACCTTGATAAAAAGCAATGTTCTAAAACTCGCTGTACCAGACATATAATAACATGCATGCATAATAAATTGATAACATACAAAAAATTACATAATATGAGTATATGACTACCATAACTGCAACTCTGCAAGGCTGCAGACTACAAAGTTGCCAGAGTATAGCAATTAGCGAGAAAGAAGGGGTTTAGAGTGACAACCTCCAAAGTGACAAGTCCCAATACCAAAAACCAAAAACATAACTACATTATGCAGTTCCAAACTTCCAACACAGTAAACAAAACATATAGAAAGTAGCAAAAATTGGCAAATGGCAAATTTGAACAACATTCAACTTGAAGCCTTGAAGTGTTTAGTTCTAGTTTCTTGTTTCCTTGTTCCATCTTGGAGCAGACCAGCAAGCAGCAGTCAGCCAGCCACATAGTTAATCATTGTATTTCTTCCTATGTACATGACAAGGAAAACTATAAGTTTCATGAAAACACAGACTTAACTGTTGGGAGTTGGGAGGTATCAGATCAAAATTAAAAACTATATAACATCAGAGTTGGCTCAGAATCACAGATTGACAAAACTATATATAATTCAATCAACACTAACGCATTCATTTCAATTTTTGGTGGAAGCTATCATCAATTCATCATTGCCAACATATGCAACACTTAATAAGTAATCAATTTGTACAATTGCAAATCCCAATAGTTCCAGCAAGGCAACAAGTAAGATGCATACATTTAGGCTCAGATTGCTTATTTACTTCACAAAAAATGGGGGCATACAAAACTATATACATATAGAATCAATACCAACCCATTCATTTCAATTTTTGGTGGAAGCTATCATCATTGCCAACATATGCAACACTTAATTAGTAATCATTTAGTACAATTGCAAATCCTAATAGTTCCAGCAAGGCAGCAAGTAAGATGCATACATTTAGGCTCAGATAGTCAGATTTCTTATTTACTTCACAAAAACTGGGGGCATACAAAACTATATACATATAGAATCAATACCAACCCATTCATTTCAATTTTTGGTGGAAGCTTTCATCATTGCCAACATATGCAACACTTAATAAGTAATTAATTAGTATAGAGATAAACAAGATTACCATGTCTTCTTGTACAAGCACACTAATAGGTGAAATTGTACCAGTGTAATAGCAACACTTCCATATACCATCGTATCAGTAGGTTTATGCTTTTGCAGGCACATCATTGACAGAATGACAGAATCATAGCTTCTTTTAAACCAGCTTCTTTTAAACCATCTTGCACAGCTAAATTTAGGATATGAGCAATACATCTCATATGAAGGTACTTTACTTTCACAGAAGAGGCACCCCAAGATAAAAGTTTTTTCTTAAAAAAACCTACTGCAGTATCATTACTACTGGCATTATCAACAGTTATGGTGAAGATAGATTTCAATCCCCAATCTAGCAAACAAGACTCTAGAGCTTTGGCTAGGTACTCTCCTCTATGGGAAGTAACAGGAACAAAGGAGATGATCTTTTTTTTCAGCTTCCACTCATGATCAATAAAATGTGCAGTTATACACATGTAGTTGATCCTCTGTACAGAGGTCCATGTGTCAGTTGTTATACTGACCCTCTGTGTGTGCTCCCTAAAGTACCTTTTCATATTCAGCTTCCCATCTAAATAGATTTGATAGATGTCCCTAGCTATTGTCCATCTTGAAGGAATTTGAAACCTAGGACAAGCTATAGGCATAAACTTCCTAAATCCTTGCCTCTCTACAAATCTAAATGCAAGTTCATCAATTATGAGCATTTCAGCAAGTGCTCTCCTAACTGCAACTTGATCAAACACCCAATTCACTAACACTCCAGTATTTTCAGGTGTTGGATTAGACAAGATTGGTTGGAAACTGAGAAGGGCTTGCCTAGTATCTTTTGAGCAAGGAATTTTAAGACAGTTGAGCATGTGATTTCTAAGAGAGGAAGTGCCATGCTTCTTGGACTGACAACAGTATGTTCTGGCACAATGTTTGCATTTTGCTTTGATAAGGACACCTTTACTATCTTTTATCTTGTCAAAGTATTCCCATATTATGGATCTGGACTCTACCTCCTTTCTCTTTTTTCCAGAAACAGGCACATCATCAGCAGGTATCTGCTGAGTGTTGGTATTAGGCCCAGCATCATGAGCTTCTACCATAGGTTCTTGAGAAATAGGAGTCAGAGGAGGTTGAGAACCAGATGCAGGTATGGTATCAATACATTGACCTTCCATTCTGATTATTATAGACAGTTCAAATACCTCAATGCAGTCAACACATTGAACAATGAACACATAAATGACATTATCACATATTGACAATCACAAATACTTCTACACATGCACAGTAAAGTCTGGAACAATCACCAATGTGATCTACAGAAGGATATAAGCAGTAGGCTTATTCTCTTCTCTACAGACTTAGAAGATACCAGTTTACTCTAACTACTCGTTTGAGTGTTTGAGTACAAAAAGGTAACTTCAACACTTGTGACTTTGTGAGCCAGAACATATGAAATATGAGTCATCAATTCATCATGTTTACTCAGAAAATTATATTTAGCCATCATTTTATTCAGTACTCAGTAGTTCTTGATAGATATCACATATGTATGAATGTATCAAGGCATCAAGCTTACATTTAACTGATTTAAGTATTTCACAGGCATCACAAATGCATCACATTTTACAAATCAACAGACCACAGTGAAATAGCCAATATGCATCTAAAAAAGTCAAAAAGAGGTATCAGGGTTCACATTAATTAACGGGCTGACTGGCATCAACATCTCACATATGCATCACAAATTACAAATCCATAGTCAAGTAGCAAACAGAGGTATCATTGAGGCAATGAGGCTAACATTTAACAGATCCATTGTAAATAGGCTTCCACCATTCATGAATGCGTGAGTCACAATTACACAAGTAATACATATCAAAAGACAATAACAGTATAACTGTTTAACACAACATATCTAGGGTTCGAGCTTCCAGGCTTCCACCATAGTATAATACCAGTTATACCACCATAATAGATAATGAAATTAAACTTTTATACCTCACAATAGACTCGTAGTGTCGTATAGTCGCAGGTTTCCACCTTTCCACCGTTGTTAAGCTTCCACCTTTGTTAAGCTTCCACCAGTCTGGAGGAACAACAAGCCAGAGAGGAGAGGCAGAGAGTAAGAGACAAACCAGACAATGAGACAATGAACTATCAGTGCCGGACTCTTGGAGGGAGAATAAGAGAGATTGGATTGAAGAGAGGTTAGAGTCTTAGAGAGAACTCAGAGAAGGGATATGCCATATGCGATGAAGAGGATTAGGGTTAGCCGGTTAGGGACTTAGGGTTACAGAATGGGTTGTAAATACTTAGTATATATACTACTTCGAGTTTCGGGTTTTTCGGGCGGGTCGGGTAGCGATTTTTAAAACCCTACCCGCGACCCGCTACCCTGAAACCTTATGGAAACCGGGTTCGGTTTGGATTTTCGGGTTCGGGTCACCCGACCCGGTGGGCGTATAAAGGGTATATCCGAACGGGTTTTTGGGTCGGTTCGGGTTCCGCTCTCCCCTACTCGCCGGTGTAACAAAGGAGTTCAAAATGTCTATTTTTAAATTTTTTTTTAACTCAGTAATACCTTTGTACTAGAGTCATCTCTAACCATGTTTTTACTTGGACCGAAATTTCTTGATTTGGTTTGTTTTAGTTTGATTTGATATGTTTTAAGATGTTTTTACTTGATTTGATCTGCTTTAAGATGTTTTTACTTGTATTTATTTCAGTCCCAGACCAAATCAAACAGTTCAGACTAGACCAAATCAAACAGTTCAGACTAGACCAAATCAGATCAAACTTTGACAGCTCTGAAATATACAGAAATCATACATTTACTAGACCAAACTAGATAAAAAAATTCAGTCCAAGTAAAACACTCAAGTCTGATGTGATCTATTGTGGTCTCAAATTGAAACTAGTTAAATACATCTAAATTCTAAACACTAAATACTCCATACGGAGTATTAGTTAAATACGAAGTTGTTCTGAATGTATCCCAAATTTATACACAAATTCTACACTGTCTGTGTACACAAATATTTTGACATAAAATCATGTCGTCCATTTTCAAACAAATTACCTATCTACAATTTGTGTACTAATTTGGACACACTACCATTTTTTTTTTACAAAAATGATGTTTGTATCCATTCTTCACTTTTGTACTCACCAAAGTTGTGAACTTTTTTGTTTTGTTTATGTGAACAGGGGTTCACAGCCAATTTGGGGATCACGTGCCATTCATTTGCCAACGATCCACCGACAGCTTATGAGATCGCAAGGAAAGATAGAGATGAAGAACTAAAGGAAGAAGATAGCAGATGCAGAATAATGGAAGAAGACAGCAGATAGAAGACGAACTAAATTGAAGGGCAATACTTGTCAACACTTCCCTACACCCCAATTTGGGGTGTTAAAAAAAAGCTCTCTATTCAAGTGTTAACATCAACACTCTTTAACACTTCCATTACTAACACATCTCAACATTCAATCCAAACAGGCTGTTAAATACGAAGTTGTTCTGAATGTATCCCAAATTTATACACAAATTTTACACTATCTGTGTACACAAATATTTTGACATAAAATCATGTCGTCCATTTTCAAACAAATTACCTATCTACAATTTGTGTACTAATTTGGACACCTTACCATTTTTTTATAACAAAAACGATGTTTATATTCATTCTTGTACTTCCTTTTGTACCCACAAAAACGATGTTTATATTCATTCTTATACTGACAAAAAACTTTTTTTTTGCTGTGAACCCCAATTCACAGAAAAAGAACAGTTCAATATAAGAATAAGACATTTTTGTTTTTCTTACACAAGTAAGACTCAAGTTACAACTACTCCTTACCTAAACGCTGATATGGCTAGTTTGGCAGTCACCTGCCTGCTGCTTTTTGCTGCTACGTATGCCGCACGGAACTTCCATCTCGCCGATGGTGCGCAGCGGAAGATCCACATTACCGATGATCTCGATGACGTCGTGGATGATGAAGAAGACGATGCCTGGAGAGAATGGGGCAAGAAGAGATCGAGTCCACCCGAATTCGACCCTCCGCCCATGGATTTCAGCGACATGGATCCGTCCCAAATGCAATCCGAAATGATGAAGCGCCAGTTCGGACCGGTTTTCGGATTTGCCAAGCTCCGCCTCGGCACCCGTCGCACTTCGGTATCCTTTTGAACTACCTTGGATTACTATAATTAATTCGGATAGTTTACTGGGTTTTGGCATTGAAAATATGCAACTCTTACAGAGTATATATTAAGCAGTCCATAGCGCAGATTATAGTAACGCATACCTCTAATTCAGTTAAACATAGCAACATTGATTACCAGGTTTGAGTTTCAAAGTTTAATTAATATTCCGGGCTCTTAAAATGATTTATGAGAACGTACTTTCCGTAAAGGGAAAAACATTTCTTAGTAAAAATACCTCTCGTCTTGCAAACAAAAAAAGAGACGGAAGAAGTTGGGGAGAATTGGAGAAACACACAAGAAATCTAAAGGAGCAATTTTTTTATGGAGGAATTTGCTTTAGGCCATACTGCAGAAAATTCGTCACTTGTTGTCTATTTTCTCCTATTATATGTGTATCATCTGCCTTTATAGGAGACGGTTACAACTTGAGGTTATTGACGCGAATTAAGTTAATTCTTTAGCTTTGGTCACACTCATTTAAACTGTTGCTAGGAAATGGTTTCTGAAATTGCGATGAAATGGACCAAACTAGCAAGAACGGGCTCAATTGAGGCAAAGTTCATGGGTTTTGATGTGAGCACAATCATGTTCACTATGGAAAAAGGTCAAGACACTCTAGAGGTTAGTCGATGCTCAATTCAGTCTCAATTCTCAAATAATGTGTTGTCCAATTATGGATTTGTTGATTGTGCCATCTGCATAGTTCTATTAAACTTAGAATCAACCATATCGGTTCAAATCATACCGGTAATATATACTGATATATTATGTATCACATTGATATACTATGTATCACATATAAAATCAGACCAGATCATGCAAGAAAAATTAGTACAAGTGTACAACTGGACAGTCTTGACTTGTTTGTCTATACTGATTTTATGGGGTTCCTAGTTGGTTGAAGCCTTTTACCTTTGCAGCATTTAAAAGCCCAGTGTCTCATCCTTTGCAGTTGAAGGATTTCTTGTTGAGCCAACCTGAAGCATATGAGATTAAAATGGGAGATCAACTTTTTCGTAGACCCGGGGATCCTCCGTTTGAGGAAGTATTTGAAAAGTTGCAGACTGAGAGAAACAAAAAGGAGTCTTCAAATGTGAAAGCAGAAGAGATGCATGAAGAGCTGTAATCGTAAGAAGTTACCCCTTGTTTCCATATCCACTCTTACCTGGTACAAAAAAATCTACAGATAATTAACCCTTCCAACCAACAACACATTCAGATCAGAATTAGCTCTCAATGTTTGTTAAATTACAATGAACTTGATACATGAGTTATGATAGCGATGTAAACGCCACAGGCTAATTTATACTCGTATCAATTTGCAACAGTTTATATGTTTCTGCAATTGGTGAGCTTATTCCCTTGGGCACTTGTATTCAATTCCTATAATCTGGAGTTAAGATAAAGTGCAAGAAAACGCATATCCAACTATCCATGCATTAACATTGAAAAATGGGATTTTAAAGGTCCATTTTGAAATCTAAAAAATGCAATAAAAGGTAAATATGGAGGAAATTATAGAATAAAAACACAGAAGGAAAATGTTTAGAAAAATGCAAGTTTGGTTCAGATTCAAGAAGTTTATGTTTATTACTTGTTCTTTAGAATTCATTTGTCCATTTGGAACTTAGAAATGCTATGGAAGGATAATAAAGAAGGAACCTGTAGAAGATACTTATGGGGAAAGAGAATGTTGAGGAAAATAAAAGATTGTTTTTACCTTAATAATATGGAGTATATATCTATTATTTGTTGAAAACTTGAAATTGATTTTTTAAAATTTACTTCTACACTTGACTACTATGAAATCTAGACATATGTTAAAAAACTAACCAGAGACAGTAATCATATTCTCATTCTCCAGCATTTCCTTTCCTTTAGCATTTTCCAGAATACAGACCTATACAGACCTGGCAAAACAAACATTTCTGTCAAGGACAGACGTACAATATATTTATGCTGAGAGATGGACCCGGGCCGGGTCGGGTCAAGGCCCGGTCGGGCCTCGGGTCTTATAATGGTAGGCCCGGGACCGGCCCGGTCAATGACCGGTTCCGGTTCGGGCCGGGCCACCCGCCCGGGTCACGGGTCAGGCCACCCGCCGGGCCGGGCCAGTATTTTTTTTTTAATTAATTATATATTATACAAATTGCTATTAAAAACAAAGTTCAAGTGCATTTATTTGAAATAAGAACTACATTTGAGAATTGAGAAAGAAATAACAATACAAAATACATTTTCTAATGAATATCAATTGGGATTTCCGCCACCGTTGGTTGTTGTTTTCCCTTTGTCACAGGACTTCATATGTTTTATTGGCATCCCGTATCCGTATGAACGCCCCAAGCAACACTCTTTCTTGCACCACCTGCAAGTTGCCCACCACAGTCCGGTCTTCGAGCCCTTCTGTAACACCCCCAAATTTCCCTCCCAAAATAATACTTAAGAAATAATAAACTTTTATTTATTATTCAAAACTCTGAATTGTTTGCAGCGGAATTAAACAATAATAGGGAAAAGGGGTGTGTTACCGCCACACCCAGCCCTAAACCGACTGGATGCTAAGGTTATCCACCGTAAATGTATCTAAAGTAATTATTAAATTCAACATTTGAAATCATGAAATCTAACAAGGTTCATTCTAAATGAGACTACTCTAAAAATCTTCTAGGAGCGCTCTCAGTGCATCAGTCTTCATAAACCACATCATCTGTAACATAAGAAAATAAAAGAAACAAATAACACAAAAATTAGCTTTAGAGCTAAGTAAGTCCCACCCAACCCCGTAAAATAATAGTTTTGTTTAAAAATAAGTATTTGTATATAGTATATACAAAATGAGTTTCCATTAATTTCAAAAAGAGTAATAATGTCTCCAAAAGATTTTCTTCAATAATTCTCCAAGTACCAAAATATTTTATTTTTCCTCAAAATAGCTTTATAGCCAATTTTCCTAATTATTTAGTTAGAAGGGCGGTGCTCAAGCGTTATCTCGATTCTTGAGCCCAGTGATCCGTTGTTTTGTACGGTCACTCCGATCTACTCTCGGTACCTCATCTCCTCTATTAGAATCTAGACTTCTACCTTAAGTGTGCACACCCCCTAAAGGGATTCCAAGCCCTCTGAGTAGTATGAAGTCTAAGTAGTTCTGACGTCAACGTCTCCCTACTCAAATTGGGATATACTCCCTAAGTTCTAGGTTCAAAGACCCTTAAGAGAATAGGTACTACTACTACTGCTCTAATAAAAAGGGATCTAATGCTCAGTTGTTCGGGGTGGTTACCGAACCCTCCAAAATTAATTTAATTTGTTTCACACCTCTCAATTCAAGTAGTAGTAGTCCTAACCCTCCCTCACCATTAACGGACGTGAAGGTGGCCCGGCACCTACGGATTTCTCCCGTGGTGCCCCAATTATGAAAACAGTCTTTTATCTTGACTTTCCAAAAATTTCACATTTATGTCTCTTGGACAAAAGATTAAAATCCATAACTTTATATTTTCCCCAAAATATCTTACGTATACACATAATCCGATGTATCTCAAAAACACAACAAATACAACTTGCTCACAAGTAATTCATCAATCAAAATGTTCATACCATCACATAAATCAAGTAAATAGTTATTTACGAGGTAAAACAAAATTTTGGTTGCAATGTGACTTACCTCAAATTCCAGAGATTCCTAACAAGCTTCTCTAACGTCTTCCTCTCCAAGTTTACCTTCTATTAATTAGAATTCTCAAAGTCAATATCTGCTCTAACTTAAAGTATAATTGTCCTACCCTCCCTCTGTGATTAAGGTACTTTTCTATGTGTTACTCGTTACATTAAATTTTAATTACTTGATTCAATAACTATATATAGTTCGTTAGTTAACTTTAGTCCATCTAATCAGTCCATTAATTAATTATTCTGATCATCCTAATTAGTTCGTATAAGCAAATATAGATGAACCAGTGGTGTAGGTTTTCATACTAGCGCCCGAATACACTGCCTATTTTATTTTTCAGTGGTAATCTATTTGACTTTCCGATTAATTGGTCAGTTTATATTTTAATGTAGGTCAATAATTTAGTTAATCCGGTTTAACTAATAAGATCAAGTTCTATTTAAAACTAACCAGTCCATTGATAATCATTCAATTTAATCTTTTCCATTAGTTTTATAATTAGCGATCCATCCATTTTTTGTTATTATTAATATTCACATGTCATTAAATCAATTTGGTTTAATTAAAATGATAAACACTGCGTTTTAATCTAAATAGTCCAGTTATAATACTAAATCAGTTTATTCCTTTTAACAATCAATAGCTAAACTCTCCTAGCCAGTTGTAAATCTTAATGTTAATATGACTATTTTGGATAAGTGATAACATCGTTCTTATTCTTACCAATCCGGTTTACCATGTATCGTCCATTAATGAACTTATTTAACTTGGACCCATTTACACTAATTAATCCAGTATTATTAGCATTATATTAGTCTTAAATTTTGTCCGCATCATGTCATCTAACGATCATCCATATTAGCTGGTTTATAAATCTTATTATAATCATGATGTGTATTTTAGAGTACTTCAATAATCAATCGGATTTAACTAAAACAGTCCAATTCTAATCCAATTAGTCCATTCGATTTTATTCTTAATTAATCCACCCTTAATTAACCCGATTAAGATAATCAAAATAATCTGTAATAGTATCCGGTTTAGTTCTAACAATCTTATTAGTTTATGATTTTGATTAATTGCTCGGCCCGTTGAATTCATTTATGTAATTATAACCAAGTGGAAATTTTTATAAAGTTAAGCTATTCGCAGTTCATGTTAGCATTCTCAGTACATGATGATCATTACTTTTACTTCGGTTATTATTAATTTTTTTTTTTTGTTTCTATAATTATTATAACAATCAATATTATTATTGTTATCATCATTCCGTTATTATATCTGCTGCAATCATTTATATTTCGGTCAAATTATTTCGTCATTCGGCCCTTTTAAAAGAAAACAGTGATGTACAAAGTATTATGGGGAAAGAGAAGGCGTACTCAACGTCGTCCTTGTTGGCGAAGCAGGTTGAGTCCGTCGTATGTCTTCTTCCAGCAACTTGGCGTCGTCGTTCAACGAGCACCTGGTTAGCCCAACGTTGACGGCTCTCCTTTCCGGTGTATAACCAGTCCGGCTACCGGTTACCCTCTTTCTCTCTTTTCTCTCGCAGTTTATTTTGGGTGTGGTACACAGTTCTTCACGATGGTCTCCCCTATTTATACTAGTCGAAGGAAGGTTCTAGCTATTAGGTTGAGTTATACGCGATTAGCTTCAGCGACCGTATTTTACGCATGAGTCGTTGGACAATCTTATCGACCGCAGGCGTGTATAACATTATTCGTAATTCTCATTTCGTATGTGTTTGAGTACAATGAACCTAGCCTGTTTCGTAAGTTATTATTTGTACTTAGTATTATTATATTAGTGGTTATATGTTTGAAAGTCAAACCATCATAAGTTACGTATATATAGTTATATTATATATGTAAGTTGTATTTAACATACGTTACGTATAAGTTATGTATATTTACTGGTATTATTTATCATTGTATATATATATATATATATATATATATATATATATATATATATATATATATATATATATATATATATATATATATATATATATATATATATATTTGTTCATATAATTACTTGATACTTTCGAATTAGATTTGATAACGTCATATTATTTGTGACAAAAGTAAAACTTTACTTTTGTTATCTAATCAACTTAACTATCACAACTTCACTTTGTAATATTTTATCCAATTTATTTGTTTTATTTTATTTAAATTTTCAAAGTGTCACATTCTACCCTCCTTAAAAGGATGCTTCGCCCCGAAGCATGAACTAATATCTACGATTAATAATATCAAATTACCAAGTGTTACATTCTACCCCCCTTAAAAAGGTTACGTCCTCGTAACTAAATTTTTACCTTGACTAAACAACTCGGGATAACGTTTTCTCATGTCATCCTCGGTCTCCCATGTGGCATTTTCAGCCAAGTGATTTGACCATAGTACTTTGACCATTTTGATGGCCTTCCTCCGAGTTTCACGTGTCTTTGTGTCCAAAATCTTCACAGGACTTTCCTCATACGTCAAGGTTTCGTCCAACTCAATCACCTAATTACATAATGGGTTATTTTAATGTCTGTCAATCGCATCCTAGCTATTTTGAAAGTGAGGTTCTTACCTCCGGGTTTAAGATATGCGCCTCATCACGGATATACTTCTTTAGTTGAGATATATGGAACACGTCGTGTACCTTGCACACATTAAAACGTCTTAGATTTGTTTTCCAATTTATGAATAACTTTTGAAAGAATGGATTTATTTCT